AGGTCCCTTCCAACCCAAACCATTCCATGAGCCTATGACTTCAGATAACACCTTTCCTGATCACCGGGATATCCCCAAAACACTCACGGCCTGTATTATCGAAGAGAACTTTGTCGTTCAAACCGAGGCGCAGCTCTGGCATTCCCGAGAGGAAGACTCGCATTTTAATGGAGCCAACGATCTCGCTCCGCAACACGTTTCCGTTGGCACTGACCTGAACAAAGCCAAAAAGAAAGGTAAGACCACCGTGATGTGACACGGCGCGGCGTCAAACAACACTCTCACCCCATCCCCATCTTCCAAGTTTTCTGGGATATCTTTCTCCTGAGAAATCAATCCAGTAGAGCAGAATTAGATCAGGAAGGTAGGTGACAGGCACAGAGGAGGAAAGGACACACCAGAAATCAGCAACACATCCCAGTAAAGCACTGTTTGTCTATGGGATGTCCTGTGGGGTACTCGGTCTCAATGACTGACACCATTTTGAGCATCACAGCACACTGGCCACCGTCGGTCTTACTTGCAGCTTTTCAGACAATAACCCTTTTCAAGATTTCCTATCACAATTCTCATTAGAAGTTAAAGGTACCCACCAAAAGGTTAACGGACTCTATAACATCCAGGAACACTTCATTTTTCCTGTATTTTATCCCTTCTGATCTCCATGAAACAGCATTCGTCACAGTGGCGGGCGGACGCGGAGCTCCAGTTTCAAGTTTGTGACCTTCCTGAGTGATGTACCTTTACAGCCACATAATTGGCACGAAAAAAAAATAAAATTATTCTTTTGATAACTAGATCAAGCCAAAAATATTTGTTTGCATATGGAAGAATGCTTAAAACTTTCCAAAAAGTTTGTCAGACTGATACTTACTCTTGTAAAATTTTACTATCAGTGGTTTGTGGATAACCAAAATCCATAAGCTCATCTAACAACTCATAAATAATAACAAAATTATCCCTAATGCTCTCTTCTTCCAGCTCCTTGAAATATTCTGAAAAAACCTGAAACAAAACAACAGGGGGAAAGGAAAGGAGGAGGACGTTAACTGAAGACCTACAGCACGTTCAGAATGTATTCTTGCACCTAAACCACCAATTTTAAAAAAAAGGGAAAACCAAACCCCTTAATTCACAAACCCCATAGTTCTGTTCACAAGATCAGCCTCAGCAAACCCACCTCAATTAAAAGAGAGCTACAGAATCCTAGAAACAACTCTGAGCATTATGAAAAATATTTATTCTGGGGAAAATATTTTTCATGCCAGGTACAGACGAGTCAAGCACAGAATCTACGTGATATAACACTACTCATGCACCAAGTTCACAATTTTCCTCTGTGTTCTTGGGTCTTGTGCAACTACTTACAGCATTGTGCCCCATCCTGTGCCTACTCAGCTACAAAATATCAATTCCATTATTAGTGGTTAGGAAGATAGTTCTACAAAATAATCAAATATAAAGTAAAAATGCTATTACCACAGAGTTCTTTAAAAATGCAAAAGCTCTACGCACTTCTATTTAGATCAGATTTAGACTGAACTGAAAAGAAGATGGAGATTACTTCTGAAACGTCGTACTCACCTGAACTACTTTATACAAAAATGAAAACACCAGTGATACACAAGCATTCTTCTTAGAAGTTGCAACAACTGATAAAAGATGTTCAGGAATATGTGTTCAATGTCACCATTTGAAAAGAAGTTTACTAAGTGCCTTTTTAAAAGCCTTCAGGCAATTAGAGTTAGCCAAAAAACCTAAGAGTTAATTAATTAACAGTACCTCTGGCCTGATGAGATACGAAGATAAATATTCAGAAAATAATTAATTAGAGTAGAATTAATATAAATGTTTTTCTGCACCCTATGCTAATGTTGCCCATTACACCACGTAAAGTGTAAAAGATTTTATTTAACAGAACCTCCTCATGGCACTTCACCCGTTCTCCAGCTTTGCACCTGGGCACAAAGAAGGAAAACAACGCGGCAGCACCTGGCACATCAGCACCTGAGCTGTCTGCAGGACAAAGGATACGATACAGGTTGTTATGTTTAATCCACATAAAGCGAACTCCTCCGTGCGCCAGGATAGGAGAAAGCGTCCCCTCTTCTTCCTTTTCCATCAGGATCGGCATGAAATGCTCCACCTCTGACATGTCCACATCTCCGCGGTAATTCCGACAGATGAGAACCTACAAAGAGAACACCAAAATTGTCTTTTTTTCTCCTTCACGAGGCAACACCACGGTGCGAGACCAACACAGAAAACATCTGGAAGACTTCGTAAAGTGACTTTTTTTAGAGTCACCACGCTTCACCCCAGCCTCTGTGCACAATCACGACGCCAAAACACTTTGCTGGTTGAACTCAAACCCTCGTCTGTCACCGTGAAGTCACATATTAACGTTCCCCGGAGTTATTCTTCACCTACTGCTGCGCACGCCCTAAATGCTTCAAAGACGGGAAAACACGCAACTCCTGAGACAAACCACCTCCGATTACGGCAAAGATTAATTACCTCGGGGATGGGAGCCTCACCGCCCCGGGGGGGACG